ACAGAAAGTTTGTATAAACAATAGAAGACATTTTAGATCTTAATGTTTACTCAGTAAATAAAGCCCTACTTTATCTGAATCTTATATTTATTAAGTATTTATTTATTAAAAAACGTTAATCATTTCATTGGGTTTTCAGAGTTTACTTTTTACAGTCAGGATAAACTTGTCTATGTTCTTGTACGCATCGTTTTGCCATGAAAGCCTTCAATTAACTTAATCGCTCTTTCTGCTGTGTCATTAACTGCTCTTAGTGTCAGCACCTGTTATTTTAGCGTATTGAAATGAAGCATTACTAGACCATGACGTAGGATAATCGTTAACAAATCTGATTGAAACAAAGCTATAGATGTTTTTCTCATAAAGTGAACCACAAAGTTCATCTTTCGAAGGGGTATATCGTTTACTATTGGCTGATAGGTTTTCTTTGGCTAACTTATTAACTATTTTTGCCTTTTTTTCATGAACTACATATTTGTCAAATAGAGACAAGACAGGCAATAGAGACAAGAACTCAATAGAGACAAGACAGTCACTTCATCAATCAAATACCAAAAATGGTAACAGAACTTTCGTAAAGCTGTTTTTAAGATAATTTTGTCGATTGTTTCGTAAGCCTTCATGATCTTCAGACCACACAAATCCTGGTAAGATACTTTTACCAGGACGCTTAAATGCATTACAGCCAAGGTTTGACATAAGATGTCACGATGAATAGGCAGACGTCTAATATTATAAATTATTAGACATTATTATTGAGAGCTTACTAATGAAATTTTTAATAAATAAATTGCTTTCACCATTCATCGCGCTTTGTGCATGGCAGCCATTTCTTGGAAATGTATTTTCACTAAGAAATATTATTGATTAATTCTATATTCTATATAATTCTAATTATTATTAATTTTATATAATCGTTTCTAACAATTTTCTTAGTCAATTCAGTTTGGTAAATTTGAACACCTTATCAATTTCTAAAACATTCAGGTATAATAGCCTTTCTGTATGATACTGTATTATCTCGGGATCGATATATTTTTCCAATTTTCTTAAAACCTTTTGAATAATGGAATGTAAGGGTTGTTGGTAGCTTGGCTAATTTTATTCAAATACGACTTTCAAAATCAATTCGTAGATGCGATAAAATTTTTCCTCATAGAAGTTTTATTAGTATCGGACTATGTGCTCTCAGTTTAGATAGGTACATGTTTTTGTACATCCATTGATGTGATTTTTTTTTGATGTTTTTCATCTATTAAAAATATTTTTTTAAAAATGCGTAATCCCATTGAATGAATGAAAATAATGCGTTTACTACTAAAAGAAACAAATAATAACAAGCACTTCGATAAGTTAGCTGCACTTAGATGTAAGTTCTAACATATATTGGTGCAAGTCGGCACGGGTTGCTTTATTTCTAAGTACATTAAATTTTATTTACAATTGTTTTGACCCCTTTCAAACATAATTATAAGGTATGCGTTGAGAAAGAAAGACAAATTTGATTTTGTTGGGACACCCTAGTGTAGGTATATGACACGTTCTACTTTACTATATAGAACTATTTTGCACCTAATTCAAAGCTAAACTTAATCGAAACCAAGTCGGTTGATAAGATGCATAGATGTGTTCTATTTTGATTGTGTTTAGCATAAACAAAAAGGCTTCAATCTTTTTTAAGCTAGTGCATGAAGTCCAGCTGGTTTATAAGAAAGTCTTAACTAATTAAGACTAAGCTGTTCTTGAAAAATATTCAGTATATTCAGAAGTCATATATTTTCTTGAAATAAAACTATTTGTAATGCATTTTTTGAGCAAAATAGTATATTTAATGATATTTACATTTACAACTTTGAGTTCAACTTGGCATGGGATGGCACAATGCGATCGATCTAAAATTTTTTTTCTCTTAATTTATCATCAAAAGGAATGTTTTAAGAAACGCAGACATAAAACCCTAGAAAAATAAATTTCCCATATAATCAATGACCAGACCAGTATTTTCAATGAGAAATTTAACAAATCTGTGCTCTCGTTCTATTAAAAAAACTGTATATTGCTAGTAAACATTTTAACACTGTCTGTTTGCAACACTTATACATAGGCTTAAATTACTTCCAATAAAGAATACTGAAAATACAAGGATGTCAAAAAATCCATGGAACACCTTTTCAATTACTGCCCGTCTATTTGGAAAACACTAATAAAACTCTTTAGGAGTTACCTGCTTGTGGGGTTCAAAAAGTTCACACATATCTATAGTAGCGCATCCTGCCTTTAACCACATTTAAGGACTCTAATATAGCATCGTTACGTAATTTTTTGGTCCGTGCGTGCTCTCGTTTAGCCAATGTTATGTTCAGAAATACATAAAATAACCTAAAGCACCCTTTTTATATAGAAAGATATGTTTCGGTAAACAAAAATTACTTAAACTAAAAACTTTGTTCAAAATATATTTATAAGCATTAAATATGTAATAAAAGAATTTTTCATTGAAAAAAACATGTACTCAAGAATGTTTGGGTATTTATAAAGTTTTCTGTTCTGTCATACTTTTTCGGTATCAGTTACCGGAAACTTTGAATAAAAAAAATTGAGACAATAAAACAAAAGAAGCAGTAAAGTAACTATATGCAATTACTAATTAGCAACAAGGTGAAGAGAGATTTGTGTAAAAAATACATAAAATTTTTCAACAATATAATAAATTTCTTAATTCAAATCACGTACACGAGAAAGGAACCACGATGAGTATAAAAGCAAGCACACATAGAAGAAGAAGACGTACTGTGGAAGAAGTTTCACCCACAGTACTGAGCGGAAGCAATAACTAAATGGCACTCTTTTCATAACCATAAGACAAAAACAACAGCTGTATTTGTTATCAATTTTAGAATCAGTGCTATGAGGCATTCAACATCATTCAGTAATAGCAACAGCAACAGCAACAGCAACAGCAGCAGCAGCAGCAATTTCTGTCCGACGCTTCCAACCCTCACCGCTAGCCGTCATAGATGCAATTCCTAGCGCATTTCAAACTTTTTTATGTACATGCTCTCATTTTTAATTTATTAGAAGGATTAAGGATATTTGAATGCAAAAAATTAGAGCAAACTATAAAAAGTGCATTTTAGGACAGTGCACAAGCGCATGACTGCATTGAAGAAAAAAAGACAATACTGAGGGAGGCAAACTGTATTGTCTGAGATGAGATCGAGACAGGGAATGACACTAACCCGTGTTGTTATATTGTATTAATCAACTAAATTTAGTGAAACCAGTTTATTTATAAAAGATATTTTAAAGCTGTTTTTTTTTTGCTTAGAATATGTCGTTTCCACAACATATGTGCTAGATTTTATTATGAGTTGGCTTTAAAGTGTACCAGCTATAACACGACTTTAAATTGTCTATACATCAAAATATTCATTTCAAAACATATTTATAAAATGTGATGATTAATAACAAATACAAGATTTACCAACAAAATAATTTCAATATAAATTAAAACATATATTGTCGAATTAAAACTCTACAAATAATTACAATGAGGTTTATAAAACCCATTTTTATTTATACATTTTTCCAAATACTCAAATACTGGGACATAAATTACATATATAATTTTGTAGTATTAGTATATAGTATAAATAACCATCTTTTTCTAGTCTTTTTTTTAAGACTACGACATATCCTATAAAAAATGTTCTTTTATTATTTTAACTGGTGTTTTTTATTTTTTTTAATATTTTTAATATTTTATTAATATTTTTAATTTATTGATGTATACGTTTTAAGCTATAATAATTTAAGTACTAAATGCATTCGCCAGTAAAGTGAAAGGTTTACATCGTAATTGATTTTTTTTAAATTTATTTTATAGAAACGAAAATGTCTGCAACAATATCTGACTAATTAATTTTATAAATTCACACCAGCTTTTTGATGACAAGCAAATCAGCAAATAAATATTGGCATAAAAACGGAAAAGGAGAACAATCAACGAATGCTGAGAATTGAGATACTTTCTTAATATGACTTTTTAATTCTATATCCTTTTTATTTCTTAGAAAACCATATATATAATTTAAATCTAAGCTCAGGACGCTTTCCAGTAACTGAAGTAAAATGGGAATATGCAAATGAACGATGTTATGAGTTTTAGAGCTGCGTCTTTATGAAAATCTGTTAAAATTTATCGATATATACATATAAATACATAGCTTGCAAAAGCTCGTATATTTGTGATACATTGAGTGATAGCAAAGAATCGACATACTATCTGCATATGGAATAAAGGGACTCTTTTGACTAATCGATGGGATTGTTTAGAAACAAGTATTAATATAACAATATAAACCGCATCTATTTAGTATTTAGCAAGTGGTTAATATATTATCAAACACTACCTTCATAATTGGTTATCAGATTTGGTTCGAACCTAACTCCAATGATGTAGAATTATTATATTATAACACCTTATAACACCATATTATAACACCTTGTACAGTACAAGTCATAAGTTCACAGAAAAGAATATCCACAACATTCCAAAATTTTAAAATCCATATTGGGTAATATTGTTACCAAAAAACTCTTATTGTGCATAAATAGTTATACGGTTATTAGATTATATATAGATTTTATAATTTTATTTATAGAAATCGTACCGAAATATCTTTCTCAATATTAACTGATTACTATAATCGATTATTTTATATTCAAGACTTCTGCAGTTATTTCTTAAAAATTAAAAAAAAATGCAAATAGTTTTAGCCTTAGAAGGTGTCATGACATTAATTGTGCATAAACTGGACAATATTCAATAACTTATTATTTATTTAAATAAAAAAATGTATTAATAATTTTATATACAGATGTTTGTGTTAATATTTTAAAAATGTTTATAAAAACTTGTAAATGTTATTTTATACCCAAGAATGTATAAAAAATGTAATAAAAAAAATTTATAATATAAAGATTATATCATTGCTTACCTCAGGAGGATCCCAGACACATTCCCCAGTAGTAAGATTGGCATACATATGCTCTTTGGTACGTGGTTCGATTATTTCCACCCATTCTATTCTGTAATTCATAACTTTTTTAATTAAAATTTCACTTTATTTTAAAATTAGAATAGATAAGATTAGGAAAAAAACATGTGTGCATCCGTAGTGGCATTAAGGGATGTGAAAAGGAATGTCGTATTAATTTTTCAGTAGTGCACTATTATAACGACACATAGATATTTATAAATTGTCAAAAACATAATTTTTTAAACCACTTATGCATGAATATTTCATTTCATTGCATTTAAAAATATATTTACGGTTTTTATCCGGATATTCTAGTCACTTCATTATTTTAATTTTTTTCAATTTATTTTTAAATGAACACTTATGATTTTTAGGATTATTTCATCTGGTGTTAAATAAGATAAAAATAATTTTACAGAAATTGATTGAAATTATTTTTCTATTTTGTATGCATTTTACGAAAAGCTACACCCTGTTAGAATCCTTGCAAGATATCGATTTTGACAGTTGAATTTATGCAAAGGAAAACAGGATATAAAGTGAAAACATAAAGAGGGGAGTACATATAGAAAAAGCGCATATAAGAAAAGGGGAGGGGCGCAATGCACTGCGTAAAATGATATGAAAGTAATTATATTATGATCTCTTGACCTAATTTTACCAAATTTAACATTTTTCATTCATCATTTTAATAACATATTCATTTGTTTTTCACCAAATTTGGCAATATTTTCTTTACTACTTCTGGTGCCTACACACAAGCAATTACATACACACACACACACACCTTTCACAACTCGAACTCATCTTTTTTGTTGCTATTGTTACAATTTTCTTTTTAAACAAAGAAATACTATTAATATTTCCGAATATTATTTGTGGTCATATTTTACACTTGTTTAACATATTTAATCTATTTTTTTGTTTTATTAAACGATCACATTTTTTCTTGCATTATATTAAATTTTGCGACTGAGAAAAAATACACAACTTTACTCAATGAATGAAAATAAATAAATGCGACAAAAGAGTAAGAAATGAAAAAATACCGACTCAGGGTTGCTCAATTTAAAAAGTTTTAGAAGTGTGTGTGATGTGCATAATGGGTGGAATTAATGGATGTGACAGTTTAATGTTTACAATTTGAAAATAACAGCTGTTATAATAATAAAAAAAATTAATTATATAATTTTACAAAAATACTTAAAAAATTTAAATCATTTGCATAAATTAAAAATAATTTTAATAAATATTATTTAATAAAAATAATATATTTATATATTATTTAAATAAAATAATATGTAATCTGATTAATAACCTACATATTTTCAAATACATTTAGTTATATATAATAATAATGATATGAACATAAGAATTTTAATAATATAATAAAAATTGTAATAATTTCATTAACTATTTCATATTATTTCCAATGCTTTAATTTAAATACTACATCACAATTTATTTTTTTGTAGTTTCATTTTAAGAACCTATTTATAAAAAAAACTTGAATAATATATGAATAATGTAAATAAAACCTAATATTTTTATTTTCACCAATTTTATTTATATAAGATCAACTAGTATCATATTAATTTAAAGCTTAAATTGAAATTTATTTCTTTAAAGTCGAATAATTTAGCGACACTATATTCAACATAAGCCGACAGCATATTTATATTTATATAATTAATTATTAATAAAACAGCAGTTATTTATTATGTTTAATTTTTTTAATGTATGTATAGTTTAAAAAGATATTTCAGAATTTAAACAATAAAATTCATGCTTCAATTACATTATTATAGTTTACTATAAAATTTTACATATATTACACTTAAAAATAATCCGAAGTTGTCGCCAGATTGTGTTGGTACCCATATATTTTGCAATAACACAAACGAACATGTGTTTTAAAGGTGACATTTCAAGCTATATATTTTATAAAACAAAGTAATGCTTTATTACTATAAAAAAGATAAAATGAAGCAAAAACATGTCGAAAAGTTTTGCGATTTACGGCGAAGATGCTGTGAGTGAACACTGGACTCGGTTGTGAGTCGGGTTTGCCCGGTTCCGCTCCGAAAATTTCAAGCTAAGGATGCATCTCTCAACCAATACATCTTCTTCTTCTTCATTCCATTACGTTCTCAGGGGAACATTGGGCCATAACGAACTTTTTCCAACTGTCACGATTTCTTGCCAGGGTTTTTATACATACTGATTTAAATTGATTTTCATTAAAGATAACATTTTTTTCTCATATATTGTAATTTTGTCAAACTAATATTGTGCACGACAGTTTTATTTTTTTCAAATATTTATTCGGGTCATAATTCGCTAAATAAAATCTTTAACATAAAAAAAAACAATAATTAATCAGTAGCAATCTGGAAAATTCGTTAATTTCCCTGGATCTGTTGCGAATATTATATCATCCAGCTCAGATAAAAAACTATCTGTTGATTTCAGCCACCCTTCACGACTTTGCAGCATTTCATTTAGTTGAAGAGATTTTATTGTTGACAGAAATTTTTTAGCATCTACATCTGAATACTCTTTATACAGAGTTTTATTAATATTTCGTATTTCCTCATTTTCACCATTTGTTAACATTGTATTTGCGTAGGCCATAGTTAAAATTTTAACATCTTGTTCTAATATAATATCTTCTATAATTTCAGCGGCGCGATTAGACGTGTAAGAACTATCTAAAAGTGTTTGTTCATGTTGAACGGTTGGTGTGGGAACGTCGGAGTTAGTTTGTGTTTGAGGTTTGTTTGTTGAGCTTTCCTGAATTTCGATTCCATCGATAATAGACTCATAATTATATTTTTGCAACTTTTCCAGCAATCTATTTACAATTCCAACCGCTGTTCTTGTAACCTCTATATCATTATATTCAAGAAGGCACTTTAAAATAACACCTAAGCATCCACGCTGAGACAATTCATTAAAAACTTTTTTAATACGCAGGGTAATTTCTTTCTCTGTTAATTGTACTATTTTTTTGTTTTCTTTCGAAAATGTCACTGGAGGAAATGTGCCGTCTATCATACCTTGATTTGTTAATTGTTTTTCTATTTCCATTTCCCAAAATTGTAGCGCATTTATTTGAACTTCCCAATACAAATCAGAAACAACACAATGAGCAAAAGCTGAATATAGTACATCAATATGTTGTGTAGGTATTTTGCGATGTTCATATATTTTTGATAGCGTAAACACAGCTTCTTTTCTTACAATACCTTCTTGATCATTGCAAATTACGTACAATATGTGCTCCTAAAAAATCAATATTTATAATTATACCTTATAAACATTTCTCATATTTTACTACTTTAAAATACATACTATTATATCAAGTTTACATAATTCTTTTTCCCAAAGAATATTTATTGGCACCATAAAAGCAAGACATTTGAAAGCGGACGCACGTACATATGGTTGACCATCATTTTTGGCCATTTGATATACAATGGGACATATATTAGACTCCGCCAAAAATTTTTGAAAAGCTGGGAACTCTGAAAAGTATATAGTAATTTTTTATAGTAATTTATTTAATATTATAATAAAAAAAATTTACTTAAACGTGATATACTGACAATTGAAGTTGTCAGCTCCAACGTACTATCGCGCACTTCCCAATCAATATCATGGAAACGTTTCAAAATTATTGGTCCAAGACATACTAATCCTGAACCCTGTAAATTATCTACCAACAAAGCCATATTTGGGGAAAGAAAATGTTCAATTCCTAATTGAAGTAATTTAAGCGCCTGCACTGATAACTGTAAACATATATTTTTTACTATTGCATTGTCTTCTTATATAAATTAAGATTACTTACAAGTGTTGTCATATTTGGAGTTTCTAATAAATACGCCAAAAAATTAACTAAACAAATTGTTTCAATCGATTCTTTCCACGTAATTCTAAACTTCTTTATCAGTGATTGTAACCCAATCAGTACTGCATACAAGACCTTTGGTATCTTTACTATCAATTCAGCACCAGTTTGTTTTTGATCTTGTGCAAAACAGGCTGGATTCGAGTTTATAATAAATTCCTTAAGAGCATACATCATGCCCTGAAACACAATAACAGCTTGATCACGCTCCAAAATATTTCCAATGGAAAGTATTCCATGTATGGACTTATATGATAATTCTGCAGAGGCTTCTACGGAGCCACTTTCTTCTTCCTTTTTTAAGAGTACATCACGGTATCCGTAACCAATACGTAAAGTGTGTTCACATAAACAATCAAAGATTTTATTAAGATATTGTTCAAAAATTTCTAACTTATGGAACTCCTTTGATCTTAATAGGAATAATAATGGCATTAAATGAAAAATTATCAACTGGTTCTCGAAACGGATACGTTTATCCTCGATTTCTATATCTATTGGTGCACGTGATCCTAATTTTTTCCACAGAACATGATTCAGTTCGGCCAATTTTATAAAATTTAAGCTCTCATGTCGTGCTATGCAGAATTTCATCATATTGAAGAATGTAATACCAAATTTATTAAAACCTTCCGGCGCAATTTGACTCTTACCGTCCCACTTTTCGTATACTAACATAGCGAAATTGAAACTAGTTAAAGTTGTCAATATGTTTAACATAAAAGGTTCCTTTTGAGACATTTCACAGAGTTTCCAAATTGTTATCTCAAAATTATGATGCTTTTCTAGCAAAAAAGCAATATTAGTCTTTTCTTCTGATATAATTGTTTGTTGTAATATGTATGAAATGAGCTTTAACGTAAAAGAGAGTTTATCTATTAATTCCGAATCGTCAACATTGATTAATATTTTCCCATTCTGTTCTTCATACAAGTTATCATGAATAGGTTTGAGTACTTCATTTAAAATTTCTAAAACGATTTGTTCATCATTTGTTTTAACGGATAATTTATAAAGAACTTCATAAAGAAATTGTTGAGCTTCACGAACCACATAAACAGTGTGATCTCTATTGCAATAATTAAATAACAAACGCCACACGCCTTCTGATCTTATATATCCCAATCCAAGACTATAACGAGCCACTGACGCAAATAATCGTATTATACCAAGTTTAATAGAAGAAGTAAGTTTATCCATATCGCGTTCGATTAAAAATGTTACCCTAATTAAAAAAAATAATGCTCAATATATTATTTATATAAACTGTAATAAAAAGTAAATAAGTAAATAATTACCGTTCAAAAATTCGCTTCTCTTTTATTTCTATTACAACCCACTCATTGGATGTCAGAAGACTGCAAACATTTAGCATAAACGAAATAACTTTAGGATCAACCTTAGTAAAGTCTTCACTCATCATTGTTATGCATTTATCAACCCATTCCATAGCAAAAGGTGCTTGTAAGACATACTCATTTTCTAAATTCAAAACAGAAAAAAAAAAATTCAAAGTGTAAGAAATGAATAATAAAAGTGCTTTCTACAAAATTAGTTCCAATTGCATACCTTTAGCACCAAGATGTATAAGTAATTTCTCAAAGCAAACATTGTTTGTTATGATGAAATTTGGTTGTAAGAGATTATTAAATATTGTGTTTAAGCGCTTTAATATTAATTGCTGTTGGTCCATGTTTTATGTCTGTTTTAATATATATTTAATATCTTAAACATATCACGAAACATTTTAATATTAAAATAGTTAGTATAATTTAAAAACACTTGTTATCACTAGCCGAAATTCTTTTAAAATAACACACGCACTTGACGAATTGAAATTATTTATGTACAAAAACTACAATGGTATGTTCAGTGAAGTAAGTTCATATGTTGATAACATAACATAACATTACATATAACAATGTGATATACAGAACATTTAATAAAATCTATCAGCTGTAGTCAATTACAACGACTAGAAACTCAATAAAAAATTGTACAATTAGTGCATAATATTTGAAAAATTTTATGTGATTAGGATATAATAACGAAATAATAATAATAAGAAAGACGCAATAAGTAGATAATCAAACAATTCATGATATATATGCACATAAATGTATAATAGATATTTATACTATATTGTTTATTTTTTATATTTTTTTAAAATAATTCATAATTTAATATTCTAATGTTCATAATTTAATATAATATATTGTTTCATTTTTTTTGTAATGTAGACCAATTCAAAATTTATATAAAGAATCCATTTTACAAATTTTCTGTGGAAAAATAACTTATTAGTATTAACTGAACGAGCCTTTTTTGACCGAAAAACACGTATTTAATATATTACCTTTTAGAAGTGTTACATTGCTTAATTATTTTATATTTATTATTAAACAATAAATCATAGCATATATAATTTTAAAAAAATTCGCAGTTTTAAATATTGACGTATTTTATACAAAACCTTAAAATTAGAGAAATATGTTTATGTAAATAGCAACATATAGACAAATACATAAAAGTTTAAAATTTATTTATAATATGGACAATAATGTAAACAGCAGTAGCAATTCAACAATATCTACGATAGCAAATAACAAATTACAGAATCTAAATAGTATTAAGCAAAATTCCAATTCATTTTGGAAAAATAGTGGACGTCCAGTACCAGGTGGAACAGTCGCTGTTAGTAGCGCAAAGGCTATGGTGTCCACATTTCGCGACTACCAACAAAGTGTCAGCGATGCCTGGGATACTGGCGATGATGAATTTTGTATTATGTCAAATATCGGTGCTGGTGCACCAAACGGTAAGTTGTAACACAATAATCAATATGTCAGCCCTAGTAATGAAAAATCATGTCTTTGTTTTTTTATAAAGATTCTCGAATATCAAAAAAGGTATCACAATCGGCAGCCCTTAATGTCATTGAAACACATAGAAATGTTAAGAGTAGCAATGATAAAATAATATTAACAACAACAACTCCAATAAAAGAAACCAATATTAACCAAACCCAAGAAGAAATTCAACGAAATGATCATTTAGAAAAGGAAATCAAGTAATGTTTAAAGAAAATAATTGAACCTATATATTTCTTAACCAAATCGTTTTTTAGACCAAAACCACGTAATTTTCATGCTTATCCAGGACGACCTCAATTACAACGGTTCAGCTCAAATTCACAAGATACAGAATATGAAACAAAAATTGAAAAGTTTCAAATATTGTTAGACTCGCCTTTACTTGATTTAGTTGCACTAAAAAAAATTAGCTGGTCAGGCGTGCCAAGAAAGGTAATAATTTTTTTTTAAATTATGCTGTGCAATATTACAAAAGGATATTCTTTAATAAAGATGCGTGCTGTAAGCTGGCGTTTACTTTCGAAATATTTACCACCTTCTGGAGAAAGACGCGATGCTGTGCTGGAGAGTAAGCGTCAAGGCTACCAAGATCTAAGACAAAATTATTTTAAAGTGGATAGTCAAGACGAAACTCAACAGGATACTTACAGACAGGTTAGAAAACAAATAATTAAACAAATAATTAAACAATAATAAATAAATTATTTATTTGTATATTTTAATTTACAGATACATATTGATGTGCCCCGTATGAATCCCCAAATCGCATTGTTTCAACAAAAGTTAGTTCAAGAAATGTTTGAACGTATTTTATTCATATGGGCAATAAGACATCCAGCTTCCGGTTATGTGCAAGGAATAAATGACTTAGTAACACCATTTTTTATTGTTTTTTTACAGGAGACATTAACGCTTGGTATTTGACATGATATATCTGTAAATTTAAAAATTTTTATATTATATATTTTAGGTACAGATTTAGAAAAATTTGATATTAGCACACTTACAGAAGACTCGCGCAATTCAATCGAAGCAGATTCCTTTTGGTGTTTGTCAAAATTTTTGGACTGTATACAAGATAATTATATTTTTGCGCAGTTAGGGATACAAGAAAAAGTTAATCAATTAAAAGATTTAATACAAAGAATAGATGGTAAGCAAACAAATATGATCTTTACAATAAGTGGAACAAAAATAATTTATTCCTATATTTTATAAGGCAATCTACATCGTCATTTGCAGACACATGGTGTTGATTATTTACAATTTTCATTTCGTTGGATGAATAATTTATTAACACGAGAACTTCCACTTCACTGCACAATACGTTTATGGGACACTTATTTAGCTGAATCTGATGGATTTGCTGTTTTTCATTTATACGTTTGTGCGGCCTTTCTGTTACATTGGAAAGAACAGTTAATGCAACAAAATGACTTTCAGGTATGTCACTTCTGAAATTATTTTATACATAGATTTTTTGAAAACAAAAAAAAATTTTTTTCTTCAGGGTCTTATGCTTTTGCTACAAAATCTGCCTACTCACAATTGGTCTGATCGTCAAATAAATGTTTTGGTGGCTGAGGCATTTCGTCTGAAATTTACATACGCTGATGCACCTAAACATTTAGAAGTGAAAAGTTGACAAAGACATTATGTTTACGTGGCATAAAATCGGTTTATATATATTTATTTTTAGGCATATATGTATTTAAAAAATTGGTGCCACATATTAACAGTTACATATGTTTAAGCGACGGATAATTCAATGGTTTTTAAACATATATTATGTGTATATAATAACGATGTTAATGAAAGTTATAGTAATAATTATAAGTATGTCTACAAATTACAATTGCTTACTAATATCCTAAATTTAAGTATTAATATAAAGAATATTTGCAAAACTCCAAGACTATTAAAAATAATACATGTCTAAAACAAAATATAAAAAATATGTATGTATATGGAATGAATTTCAACTTTTATTACATACCAAATAATATTTTACATTAATTTTTTTTTTGTTGAATAAAATTATATATAAATATATATTAATACATGAATCATGTAATAATCATACATTTAAAAATATTAAGTTTGCTTTTCTGCTAAATGTTTTAGTTGTTTTAAAACTGTTTCTAACAGTTTCTTTCTATCATTTTTACGTAATACAGAAAACATTGTCTTCTTATCAGCTTCACGCATTTTTTCTAATATCACAATTAATGATTGTGGATGAACCAAGTGATAACAGCGATTGCCTTCTTTTCCATAGTCATGCAAATAGCCACTCCATTCCTCCATTATCAGTAAATCTAGTAATTGACGATTCTTAAGAAAATATTTCGAAAGTTCACCCTCACTTAAACCAGGCACCGGTTCCGAAGCGGCAAAGAACTCACATTGCAATAAATCCAAATTTATTTGTTGAAGTGCACCGGTTGAAATTTGTTTAACTTCTTCGTCAAAAAGTATAGCATACATTTTGTCTGCAATATGTTCGCAGGTGCGTCGACATGCTGCTTGTGCAATTGTTTGCAACTTGTATGCAAAACTTTCAAATGTGCTCTTTAAATAAGATATCATATCTGTTATAAACGCTGATGCAATACCTGGAGGTTCAACCAATAACCAATCATACTCCGATAACTCAAAGAATTCATCAATTTTCGAACATATTCGTACACCAACTTGCTTTTCTGCATCTTGCCGTGCTACGTGAAACATTGCAGATGGTGTTTGAGATACATTACTCTCAGTATTGGTCATGTGGCAAACAAATTCATCTAAAAATGGTCCAGCCTTTTCCAAATATTGTGTATCTATAATAATTTGTATAAGTTGTGTCAGTGCTACACTTGGATTACGAAATACTACTGACAAGCAACCACTGAAACTACGGGTCAACAGAAGATTGGCAGCTTTGCGAACCATAGCTGCCACCTCATTTGGTAAAAGTGTTAACTCTTCTGCAAATTTCATACATGCGTACATAAATTCTTTAGCTTGGTGGTATACTTCAGGCACCATCCGTGAAAAAGGGAATTTCTTAGGAAATGGAGTATTTTCCAACTGCTCCGAATGAAAGGGAAAACGTTCAATGATAGCTTCGTATTCTTCCTGGTTTTCTACAATCATAGGCAAAAATTGCTCCTTGTCCAAAATATCACGAAATACATGCACCCAACGCTGTAGAAGAACCTAAAATAGAAATTTAAATATTTGAAGTCTAAATTGTTTTAAGTTTTAAATATAGGAATAAGAAGACATTTTTCTAATCATTAACAAGGTTATACACTTTACACCATAAAAAAGGGCATATACCAATTAAATAACCAAGCTTAGGGGATTATAAAACAGGAGACAAACGAGAGACAGAATACCATTGTAAAACATCATAAACATATAACTGCGCCTACAGATCTAGTGAGTCAAAGATACTTGTACTTTTTCGCGCTGGGCTATTAACCGGCCGAATAACATCACGGCCAACGATTCCATGCATTATTTTTTGCAAGAAATGAAATTACATTACGCCCTCTGCTCATTTCAAGACCTGTGATACAAGCCAGTTGATAATGAATGACAATGATAATGAATGTTATTTGTAATGAGGGTAATTTAAAAAACAGTGCTTACCTCATTATAATGATCCCTCATATTATGCAGTAATTCCCACAACATATTGACTGTATATCCATAGCACTTGAATGTATTTATTGAAAGCATAATTAAGTTTTTAATTCTTAACAAAATGTTTGGATCTGTACAAGAAGAAGAACTCATACTTATTTCATTAACAAATTTTGTTAGTGATGTGGACCATAATTCTTCTAAATATGAAGCAGTTACAACATCACCAGCTGTATTTTTTACATGATCTTCGACAACGAAGAATCCAACTATTGCACAAATATATGTCTTGTATGCCTCTAAGTTGTCATGCATAACTGGAGGTGGTTGTAATACTAATTTTGCTTGGTCACGTCTTTGTTGACGGTAGTCTTTCTCAAAGTATTCACGTTGACCAAGTACCATATATATATGTAAACAACGATATATTGGTGAAAAATCGATTAAGTCTTGTGCACTTAAATTGTCATCATCGGCGCCAGCTACTGTACGATGTAACTTATGCTCCAATATAATGGAATTAATATCACGCTTTTGTAGTTTTTTAGTATGAGTAATGGCAACTTCACCTATTTTTGGTGAAAATTTACGTATGTTTTCTAAAAATTCACGAAAATCAGATTCTGCCGATCGTCGTATATTCTCTTTAATATGTGGTATAGACTGCCGCATTTGAGTAGCAAAACGATAATTACCAAGATGTGCTAAATGTTGCGTTTCTAAAGTTTCTAATGTACGCAAAGATTGATAATATTGTTTGTTACTAGCTTGTTGTGTGAATTTTATATAGCATTCCAACGCAGGTAAGCATGATTTTAGAGCTTCTACCGCATTAGCTAAATTTGTTTCAATTTGACGTGCACGTACTAACTCATTGCCTTGTTTTATTATTGCCGAGCTAATGTGTTGCAAAGAGCGATCCAAATTGTGTACTTCCTCGTGTAGTTGATTCGCTTGTGTTCTTACTTGTAACAACTCTTGAATTGAATCTATAAAGCCTTGGTAATAAAGATTGCAAATACGCTCAATATCTTTATCATGGCTACGAATGCGTTGATCTAACTGTTCTGATATCGAATCGCTATTGTTGCCTTAAAAAAAGGGTGTAACTGAAAATGTTTCCATTAAATGTATTTTGTATAATTTACCTTCAAGAATTGAACGAAATGTTGGCCCCCAATAATCATCTACTGCTTCAATATCCTGTACAGTTACTTTAGACATTGTTAATTTTTTCAATTTGTTATTGTTTTATTTTTATTCGATTTTAAACAATACAAAATCAACAATACACTTCAAACAAAGTTGTCAGCTGATAGCGTTACCAATGAAACGAATGCATACATTTGTTGGGATTTAACTAAATTCATTTAAACTATACATAAATTAATTGCTGTTATTTAAGTTGGCAATTCTAATTTCTGATTTTGTTTATTTAAAACAAAAACTCGTTCTCTATCACATTCCGGTTGTGTTGATACGTGGTTGTTGGGAGTTTTGTGTCTTGGTTGTGTTGTGTTTTGATGTGGCGACAGTAAAACTTTCTCTACGGGAACGAATGTTAATTTATTTTTAATCGGTATATGTAATGTTCAAAAGAATTTTTACGCGTTTTATAAACATAAAATCATAAATCATGACTACTTTCCGAAAACGAACAGGATATCAAAACGATAACCACAATAACAACGTTTTGCCAAATCAACATAAAGTAAAGGAAAATGGACCACCAAAGGAACGAACTAATAAAATGATATATGTAGTCTTTATTTCATTACTGTTCGATTTATTAGCATTTACAATTATTCTCCCATTACTACCGTCATTACTCGAATATTTTCGTCAAAATGACACATCCGGTTTGTACAGCATACTAACTGAACAGGTACGTTGGTTTCAACAGCTTGTTGGCGCACCAGAACGATACAGCTCTGTATTATTTGGTGGTCTACTGGGATCTATGTTTAGTTTTCTACAATTTGTTGCAAGCCCTATTGTTGGTGGTCTTTCGGATTACTATGGTCGTAAGCCAGTAATGATTATATGTGCGGTAAATATATAATATATAAAATGATATAAGATATTATTATTTAAAAATTCTGTCTATTTTCAGTGTGGTATAGCATTATCATATTTTTTGTGGGCAATATCAAGGAATTTCGCACTATTTGTATTGGCACGTTTTGTTGGTGGCATAAGTAAAGGAAATATTTCATTATCTATGTCTGTAATCACTGACGTATCAAGTGTGCGTACACGAGGTCGTGGTATGGCTCTGGTCGGCGTTGCATTTTCTCTCGGATTTATAATTGGACCGATGATTGGGGCGTTTTTTGCAATTTTTGCAAAGCAATCTTCTGGTCCATGGTTCGTACTACCCTCATTACTAGCATTTGCACTTGCATTAGCCGATTTACTTGTACTAATATTTATGTTAAAAGAGACTTTACCAAAGGTAAGATTGATTGATTGATGGATTTATATGGTAATGTTATAAAGTCAATTATTTTATGTTAATTTATGTTTTTCAAATTTTAGCAAAATAGAGTTAAGGAAATTTCGTCCGCAATGTCATATGCTTTGCAGTTGTTAAATGTATCATCGATTTTTAAGTAAGTAAATCTGTAACTGATTACTTTGAATTGTTGAATATAAAACCAAAAATAATAAGCACAGATATTTAGTTTTAGATTTATTTGTATTATTTATTGCTCTTTGTAGCTAAAATTTAAAAGATATACGTTTTATCAATAAGGTTAAATTAATTTAAGATAATAATTTAGCGTTTCTAATTTTTTATTAAGTATATTAATACGTAAATAGAGCAGGGTATATGGTGGTGAACATGTAAATAAGATTAATATCTTATCAATATTTGTACCTATTTCTAATTATTTAAATGTATTATATTATCATATGTATTTACTCTATATTTTAATTCCCATAAAATAAATAGAACAGTAGATTGTTGTAAAATAAATATTCTTTTATTTGATTTTTTTTATTTACTTTAATAATTTTTTTTTTATATAGGTTATATAATTTAAATAAATTTCGAACTGATTAATTTTTCAACTTAAAATAATTTTACTTTTTTAACAGGTTTTCTGCTATTAAAAATGTTGCTACAAATCAAATACAAGCCTTGCAAAAAATTGGATTAATTTATTTTGTATATTTATTTTTGTACTCTGGTTTGGAGTTTACTGTCACCTTTTTAATGTTTCATAAATTCGGTTACGATTCTATGGGACAAGCTAAAATGTTTTTAACGACTGGTGAGATATGCAAGGCAATCACAATTACCAAAATAAATAGCTGCAAAACCTTGATATATTTGTAAGCCGATATTTTTAATTCCAGGTGTTATTATGACAATATTGCAGGGTTCTGTTGTACGCCGGTTACCAGAAACTTCCACAAAAATATATGCAATATTTAGTTTATATCTTATTGTACCAGCTTTTGTATTAGTAGGATTGGCTGAAAGTAGCGTTTTATTATACAGTGGCATGATTCTATTTTCAATATGTAAGAAAAATGTACAGATTTTTTTTTATGCACTTATTATTATAAGTTGTTGTATTAGCTAATCATCTCTATTTTACAGCTACAGCATTTGCCGTGACTTGTTTAACAACTTTGGTTTCAAAATATGGCAATGACGATCAAAAAGGCTCAGTTTTAGGTATATTTCGTTCTTTAGGTGCCTTAGCTAGAGCATTAGGACCTGTTGTTGGTTCAGTTTGTAAGAAAATTAAATAAATTATAAATTATTATAGTAATTCGAAATTTTTGTAGCATTTTGGTGCATTGGCTCGAGATTAACTTATGTACTAGGAGGAATTTTCCTACTTTATCCTGCCATTGCGTTACAACGGTCTGTATTGTAATTTAAAAAGATAGAATTCAACTTCTTTATGTTATCTATTATTGTTATTATTATTTTTTGTGCAAAGCACGTCACTCAATTACATATATAATTTTTATACAATGCATATGTATTCTAAAATTGTTAGTATTATATAGATTTGTATTATATACTTTTATATATATTTGTTTATTGTACATTATTTATATTAAAAAGAGAAGTAAGCAACTAATAGCATTTTTTAATAAACATTATAAAAACGATAATATATTTCCAAAATATTAATTATATATAATTTGAATAAATTGCATATGTATTTCTGAAATTGTTAGTATTATATGGATTTGTATTAAATGCTTCTATATATATTTGTTTATTGTATATTATTTATATTAAAAAAAGAAACTAATAGAATTATTTAATAAATGTCATGAATACGATAATATATATTAATAACATTAATTTTTTATTATACTATTGTAGGTAGAGCTAATAATTTGGCTCCATTAAAGTATTAGATCTTTGTTTCATCAGAATACTGTTAAGCAAAGGCACAAACTAAAAAGAAACTATTAGATTAGATTAGATTATGATACTAAAACATCTCATCTTATTTTATATTATCTTATTTTGAAATGTGTTCCTTTACAATATTACTTAACAACAATTTCAATATATTTAGCTAATATGTTACAAATCTTGCAATAACACGGATTGCAATATTAAATATTAATGGCTAAATAGTTATAAAAATTAGAATCTCAATTTTCTTCACGAATCAACTTTATAAATTTCAACATTTCTAATTTTTTGTAGAGTCAACTTATTAAGAGCAGGTACTTTAGCTCTTTTCAAGTTTATTTTAAAACTTTTTACTTATATCAGGAAACTCAAATCATCACGTTGACATAGTAAAACCGGCAGCCAAAATACTAAAAATGAAATATTTTGTATACCCAATTTACTTAATTTATTAATGCCCATTTTGTGACTTATAATAATTCATAACATAACATACTAATGATTATGTTGGAATAAACTAATTACTAAAGTTTATTAAACATTTACTTAAAATTAAGGGATAAAATGTCAAAAAAAAAAACGTTAAATTTTTTTACAGTTTTTAATTGTTTACTGAAAAAGAATTTAGTCTATTAACTAACACATGATTGTACCAAATTTTTATAAATTTTAAAAATATAGTACAGATAGATTATATCAGAGGTTCGTTATGGGTGCATTGTGAGTTAAGTTTGTAAAAGTATAAAAACGATGACAAAGAAGAAAAGTACTACTCAGCATATACTGTAAGTTGATCTAAGTAATAAAGATAAACATTGAGTATATCAAAAAAAATAAGTCAGGAAATTAAGAAAATTATTTACAAATACAAATACCATATACATATTGAATAAGAATATATAGTTCTAACATTAGCAATGAAAACAATTAACAGTAGGCCACAATATGGTTATTGCATATAAGTTCTGGAAATAAATGAAGTTTCCAAAAAAGAAAACAAATATAAAATAGTTAAACTAAAACTTGTAGAATTAAATACGTATGGTATAGATAATAAAATTTTTGTATGCAAAACATAAATTATAGAAACGTTGACTATGATAAGGTCATTAATAGAAATATATGGGATATCTAAAAATGGGAACAAGGAAGTTGAAATTGTGAGAAACTGAAACCATACTCGGTCAAAGTCAAAGATTTAGGAATCTTATAGGAAAACTTCCACAGTTATAGCCTTATGACAAAGCATTTATCATAAATTAAATTACTGATACTGATATTCAGCATTCCAAATTTTTAAAGTTTGTTTGTGTTATTAGTGTTGTATTCGAAAATTAGAACCGGAAAAATAATATATAAAAGAATACAAAACTGTACAACGAAGTGCGATGAAAAAGGGAAAGTATTATTCGAGTAACGACTTCAACTTTTTTTTTTGACAGTTCGTGAACATGGCTAATATTTGTTTTATTATTATTCATCCTTATCTCTCGGATAAAAATCTTCTTACAAATAATTATAATATATAATATTAAAATATTCATCAATATATTTTTGTATTTTGAAAAATAAAAATAAAAACAAAAGAATAGAAAATTTCATTCTAAATATTATATTATATTGATTTGAAATTTTATTGCCAATATTTTTTCTATATAAAAAAAAACTATTTTAATTAATTATTGATTGATTGCTTATTTATATTGAGTTCTTTTGTCAAATTCCCATAATTTGTGGTTTGTTTTTTGATTTTACATATTGTTGCGAAGATACAATTCAATTTAAGTTAACTGAGATAATTTTGAATAATGTCAGTTAGTTAGGAAATAATTTTTAAATATTGTTGGTTATTTTGATGAATAAAGTGTGTGTGTTTCAAAATATAAGTAACGGTTGTAATAAATACAAGTTCAATATAAATTACTTATCAGGATCCAGTGATATCGAACGAAGCGTGGGAATATTCATAACAATATTTTAATAAAATATTTTAGGATGCAAAGGGCAAAAGTGTGTGCCTCAATGGGTGAGGCACACACGATGCGAATACACAGCCTAGCCTTCTGAATAGCCAACCTCACCTACACGTGGTGTATCCTGTTCTCGCATACGAGGTCCTGGTCTGGCACCCGCTGCGCAACCTTCTTTAAAACAGAAGGAGGCCTAGTTTCACACTGGACTGTAGTAGTAAATAAGAAGAAAAAGAATAAAATATTTTATCATGTTTGACATTGAATAAAAACAATCATAATTGGATATTGAAAAATGTAAAGCTTTGTGTCTAAATGTGACGTAATTTTTAAAATTAACAAATATAATTAAATGGCTTTTTTGAATGGTCAATTAATTAATAAATGTGTAGTTAGATTAGTAATTAATTAGAAAATTACTTTGCTACATAAATTACAATAATAATTTACTTCATTTACTTCTATATATATTTTATATATATTTTTTTATGTGCCTCAAAGCAACATATAAATAAATTAATTTACAAATTTTCAAAAACAGAGTTACACTTATATATTTTTCGGCAAAAAAACATCTCATTTCTTTATTCGGTAGCTAGAAAGCATCGAAAGTCACAGTGTAAAACATTTTTTTTTCCGATAGATGGAAAGCACCAAAAGCTATGGTGTGAGACTTGAATCCACTAAAACCACCTCTTAGAAATATAAAATGGACAAATTTCAGCGCATACTAGTAATAAGGGAAAGGCAGACATTAAAATACAGGAGGCTTAGTTTTTAGATAATAAATATATCTAGGCCAAGATTGTAAATAAGTGAGCGGAGGAAGAAAGAATGTTCATGTTAAATAGTAATTACTGACTAAACTGTGTACAACCCCTTAAACCTCTTGGGAATGCAAAATGAACCCACTTCTAGCAACTAACATCAGTTGACTGTGAACATCATACCAAAAAGAAAAGATACCAATACAATTATTGCAAAAAAGTTACGAGGTTACTTCGAATTTTTCAAATTCAAATTTTTATATATTTTCTTTTTCTTTAAAGTAGTCCTATTTTTTTCAATGTCTAGTTTTGGATTCTCAATTTGTTGTTTTTGATATTTTTTAATTAGAAAGCTAATTTGTTTAATATAATTACGCAGATTATGAATATTTTATATGTAAATATATATATAATAATTTACATATTATTATATGTAAATAAATTAATAGCAGCTGATTACATACTTAAAATTAAATGAACAACTGCTGTGCATTTTAAAATGCTAAAGTTTTAAATATTGACATAACATACAAATTATTTATCACATATTTAATATTTAAGCACAAGCTTGTCATGCTATATAAAAATTGTATAACAAGTAGCCTATTTTAAATATACATATATTTAATTTGCTATGTACTCGTATGGCAATTCAAGATTTGTCAAAACTTTAACTAAAATTGGCAACACTATTTAAATATTCAACAATATTCACCAACAACAACAACAAAGGAAACTTCGCTGCACAGCCATATTGACGAAAAATTCTTGTGTCGTATAGTAAGTCGCAAAACTCGCTATTTAACAAAATAATGTAATTTTGATAAAAAGTAATTTGCAAAGAAGTACACAAAAGAATAAATTAAATAATTTTTTTTGGAATTGCATGTTTCTAAATAAAAAGTGTTCGAAAGAGAAAACTATTCATATTACTTTTTTAAACGCCCGTCATTTCTTTATTTAACAATTTTTTCTTTTCTTTTCTGCTTTTCCTATTATCGTCATTGTGTGTTTGTGTCAATGTACAATTGGTGAAGTTCTTTTACTAAAAGAACACATTTTACCAGTAAAAACGGAAAAAGTGAATAGATTTATTGCAATATTAAAGAGTATATAACGGAATACGAAGGACATCAAGGATAGTTTCAATATCTTTATAAAAATATACTCCAATACAAAATGGGCACAAGGGAAGACGAATATGATTATTTATTCAAAGGTAATTATTTAATATATAAAAACAATATTAATAAGAAAACTGGTGTAAGAAGGAAATGTGTTAATTGATAGCAGGCAGCATTAAAATGAAAAGTCAGCAATTCTGTCATTTATCAATTTGTAGCGATGACGTCGATTAACTGAGTAATAGGGAGTATTGAAGTGTTAAAGTGAAGTTTTAATTATAATTAAAAATTTTTTGAATTAATAACCGATATGAATACAAACACAAATAAATCTTCATCAATAGACGCCCACTTTCTAACAATGTACTCGTATTAAAACAAATATTGTTAAAAAAATAACTTAAATAACTTAATTTTTACATTGTATTTTCACTCAACGCCACAACTGTGTGACACGTTGCAAAATTTTGTAGTTTCATTGATAATGTTATATAGTTATTTTTCACTTCATCGCCAAGATTAGATTGAAAGTCTTTGTTTTTTATCTATTTCTTTAGTAGTACAATTCATATTTTAATAAATATAATTCGAACTAAATTACGTCCAATGCAATTATATCATTTCTAACTCCAAAATAACTTTATACAACTTAAAACTATAAATAGCTGCATAAGGTTGTACATTATTACACTACAATACAAATAATATATATATATATATATATATATATATATATATGCAATAATCCGTTATCTTAATAATTATCTTTGTACAAAGTATTATCATCACCCATATACAGGGTTCTGTTCTAAACTATATGCATATGTTAATTATGGATAAATGAATGGATAAATAATGAATTAATTATATCAAAATTGTTGTCTACTTTCTTAACACAGTAATGTTGTTCATTATTGGTGACTATTATTGTATTATTGTAGTATAATAGTTTGCTTCAATTAAAACAGCTGTTTCCTTCTACTAAATCATTTTTCTAGAGAACGACGCCACACACAACAATAGGTTCTGTTGAACTAAATTTACTCATGATTGTAATTGCATCTTAATTAACATAACAAATGCGAATATGTATGCGAATAATGGGTTAAATTGAATAGAATGTTTTTCTTGGATTCGTTTTTCTTGGAGTTTTTTTGATTATATCAAAATACTAAGTAATAATGCTAAAAACTCAGAAAAATGTTTTAAAATTTTTAATATGCATAATTGCTTCTTATTTGAACTTTCTATTTCGTTTTTAAAAATGTTATAAAAAATTAGTCACAAAGGCACGTCACACATTTTTTCTGTATTATTGTGCAATGTATTACTTTTATATATTAAGTTCTTCACACTGAATATATAGAGATTATTTTATATATGTATGACTCATATTTTTTCAAGATTTAAGCTACAGTTTTTTATCGCTAAAATGTTGATAAAATTTGTGTATTTGCTAATTAAAGGAGAAAAATACTTCAAAAACTATAAATAATCATATTACAGTATTATTCAAAAAAAGACTTCTAAAAATAAGATGCAGAGTTTGTTTACTAGCATTTTCTATTACCCTCGTTACTAATGCAACTTGCTTTGCTACTTTATATTATGCATTACACAATTACTTGGGACGAATAAATCCGATATTTTCGAATGTTTCTGGATGCAGAACCATAGATGATATTACAGAATGATGAAGTAGTACTGGAAGTTTTCGAGACAAAAGTTCTTCGTTCTTGATACACGAGCAGTACGAGCTTTATCACTTAGCGGCTTCGTCGACTTGTTCACGTCGTGAAAATGTTAAAATTAATGCACTTCATGTACGACGCTGCGCAAAGCGCGCACTGTACAGAGACACCTGGAGAGCCATGCTGCGTCAGGCAAAATCTGATAACAGGATATTATAGCCATTGAAGTAAGCAAGAACGGTTCAGTCCCTAAGGATTATTAAAATATTAAAGGATTATTAAAATTAGAAGAGCAGAAACAACATATTCTACAATATATAAATGAGGAGTAGAAAGTACTTTTTGTTATATTAGCGAGATAAAAATTGATTTATATTTCCTTACTATCTACCTATCGATAATATCCTAAAACATGGCATTAGAAATACGAGATTTCGTACTAAAAAACTTTTGACAGTTTAGTAATTGGTTGATTCAGTTTGATTTGAGCGTGCTCTAAAGAGACACTAACAAACAGAAAACACACCATATTTTACCATATTTTTCTTTGATAAAGGCGAAAACGCAAGCCATGTGGCTGAAAATGTAAATAGTGTTTATGGTCCTAATACTGTAATAGCTAATAATGCGCAATTTTGCTTTCAATTCCGTTCCTGTAATTTTGATGTGAAAGATGCACTTAGCACTGGAAGGCCAATTGTCGATAATCATGCACGAAAATGTCGATAAAATCATGGAAATTATCGAGTCCGACAACCGATCATCATGTAAGCACAGTTATGATTGCCCGAGAGCTAAAGATTGCACAAAAACCCATTTGGAACCATTTGAATAAGGCTGGATACAAAAAAACCTCGATGTAATGGTGCCACACGAGTGGCACTCAAACGTAGAAAGAACCTCATGGATCGAATTTCCGTCTACGAATCGATGCTAAATTGCAACAAAAATATACCCATTTCTGAACCGATTGGTGATAAAAAGTGGATCACTTAAGACAACCGAAAACGGTCAAGCGATAACGGTCGTGGTTGAATCGCGGTGAGCCGGCTGGAACGGTGGCCAACCCAGGATTGTCGTCCATGAAGGTTTTGCTATGTGTTTAAAGGGATTGGCAGAGAATCATCTACTATGAACTGCACACCTACGCCAATATTCTTTACTGGGGACTGTACTGTCAACAATTGAATCATCTGAAGGAAGCAATCGCCCAGAAACGATTAGCTTTCTTTGGGCTATAGGAGATGAATTCTGTTCCATCAGGACAACGCCAGGCTACACACATTGATAATGACTCCGGAAGTAGCCAAATGCTCCGGGAGCTTGGTTGTAAAGTTCTTATACATTCACCTTATAGTCGAGACCTGGCACTAAGTGATCACCATCTGTTCATGTTCATGGCGAACGATTTTTCTGGTGAAAAATTTTCTTTAAGATAGGTTTTTGAAAATCAACTGTCTCAATTTTTTGACAATAGGGATGAGGACTTCTAAGAGAGAGGCAGAATTAAATTACCTTCAAAATGGCAACAAATTATCGAACAAAACGGCGCATATTTGATCTAGATCGGATCATTCTAACTATGGTAAATAATCCTTAATTTCATGCAAAAATAATGGATTTCTTTTTACTACACCTATAATATGCAATCATTTAAATGACTTTAGGGAATCTTTAATAATATTATTTTATATTAATATGTATATAATAATTTCAGTCTTCAACTCAATATAAAAATAAGGCTAACAAAACTTTTAACTTTAAAAATATTACTAATATTTATAAGGCAATAAGAATATTAACCTTACCAAAATTTCAAGAAAAAAAGCAGGGAACAGTTGATGAAAGCCATCCTAACTGTACACTCATAAAAAATGATGGAGACTGAATATTTATTAAATAACTTAATCTATAAATTTCTTTTTCGGTGCTTTTAAAAATTATGTTTTATAAATTTAACTAACTTATTACATGTGTTAAAAAATTGTATACAATTTCCAGATATCTTTGCCTTTTGAAAAACCCCTAAATATCAAAATCTGTTTTTCTTATATATCAAAAGTGGATTGTTGGTGCTATTGAATAATTAGGTTATTGTTGCGATTGTACCAATTCAATTTAACATATTGAAGACATAAAAATTTGACAATGGATTAAATAGAATAAAAGGTTGTTAGGGCAGGTGATTGAAATGTGAAGATAGTAGCTGCACTTGGGCTTGTTTTATTGTTTGTTCGACCATGCCATACCTCTTATAGACTTTTAAATATTTATTAGACATTAATTTCGCAGATTTATGAGATGGAAATCTAATTCTCAATTTTGGATAAGGAAGGAGAAGATCGGAGTCATATTCTAATTAGCTAAATACAGTTAAGCTGGTTAAATAGACTAGCAATTAATTTTTACAATATCTGAAAGGTATGATTGTCTTGAAATTGTTTTATTTTTATGCATTGAAGGATTCTCAATAAGGTTAGTTAATAAGTCCACTATATTTAATTACACTTACAATATATTTCGTTGAACTATAGAGTTAGTGATTTTGAAAAAGTTACAAAAAGAAAAAATCATTTAAAGTTTATTATTATTAAATTACTACCTGTGAGATTGTGTTCTTATCTGAATATATAAAAATATATATTTTATTTACTATAATGTATAAGGTATTAACTCTTAATATAGTTAATAGTTTTAGGCGTTCACTTTACTATCAATATTAATATTTATTTAATATCTATTTTTTTGTTCTTTTTTTTAAATATATTTTTAGTTGTTCTTATCGGCGACTCTGGAGTAGGCAAAAGTAATTTGTTGTCCCGTTTTACGCGCAATGAATTCAATTTAGAGTCCAAGTCGACAATTGGTGTTGAGTTTGCTACCCGTAGCATAGAGGTAAGTAAAAAACGGCGGGGAAAAAGTGGAAGTGTAATGCAAAAAAGTGGGTAGTTGAAATGGGTACGGAGGTTGTTGTTATTGCTTTTGTAACCTATCGATTTTTAAATATGTATGCAACGGTTGGTGTTGACACTTAAATTGCCATTTAATATACATTTTATTACTGAGGTCATGGACAGTAGAAGCACGACAACCAAGAATTCAGTTCAGTTTGACTAACACCTCTAACAACAATAGAATTTAAAAAGCAACTTAATCAGTTAATTAATTAATAGCGTATACAATATACAAAGGGTGCATTACGAATTTTACGTTGCGAATTTCTGTATTCTCGAAATAAATTTCAATTATAAAAATTAATTAATGAATGTTTTTGAAAACAGGTTGATGGTAAGACAATAAAAGCGCAAATATGGGATACTGCTGGGCAGGAACGTTATCGTGCCATCACATCAGCGTACTACCGCGGTGCCGTAGGTGCTTTGCTTGTGTATGACATTGCCAAGCATTTGACCTATGAGAATGTAGAGCGATGGCTACGGGAGCTACGTGATCATGCTGATCAAAATATAGTTATAATGTTGGTAGGCAACAAATCTGATTTGCGGCATTTACGCTCTGTGCCAACAGAAGAAGCAAAACTTTTTGCCGAACACAATGGACTTAGCTTCATTGAAACGTCAGCATTGGATTCTACAAATGTTGAAACTGCATTCCAAAATATACTCACAGGTACTACACACAGATTGTAATTGTAATAGAAACATTATTATTAATTTAAATTCGAACCTTTTCTCGTTTTTAGAAATATACCGTATTGTTTCGCAAAAACAAATCAGAGATCCTCCTGAAGGTGATGTTATTCGTCCTAATGTTGAACCAATTGACGTTAAGCCGACTGTTACGGCTGACGTACGTAAGCAGTGCTGTCAGTGACCGCCTCAAGTCCAACATGTTTTCAACTACATTTATGCATAAATACAGCAACAGTAAAAAATGATAAAAAATGATTTATATAAGAAAGGCAAATTATATTTCAACATTCTTATCACCGAATTGTGTTATGGTGTTTAATACTGAGTTGAAAACGAATGTGGGTTCCTTTCCTACACCGAATTAAAAGTAAATCTAACATAACCCAACTATTGAACAACAATAATTAACACATTTCTTCTTTATTATTATTATTATTTTTTGTTTTTTTTTTTTTTTGATTAACTAAAACTTATTGTTTTGTTTTTTAGTTTAGTTTTTGAAAAAGTATATTTTCTCATACGATTTTATTTGAACATTTGTTCTTTTTATGAATAAAAAGAATTTTTTACTCTTTAAAATAATTAATTAAAAAAAAAATAGTTTAAATTTGTGCATTATTAAATCAAACAATTTAGATTAAAAACGAAAGCAAATAAATATAAAAAAATTTTACTGAATTTGTTCTCTCTTAGATGCAAAGAAATCTTATGCTTTTTTAAATGAAGTTTTATATATATATAAAATATAATTATTATATTATATAATTATATTGTACTAAAATATAATTATAAATACACACGGAACACGGAACAAGAATAAAATTAATTTAATTTTGCACCGCTAACCTTAAATGCAGAAAGTTGCGAGTGGATAATTTTTTTTTTTTAGAGTTTAATTTAAAAATTAAATAAAAACAATGAAACAACATTACAGCAAGTTGTAGATTATTAATTATAATTGAAACAATTAAATTGTGTTTTGCTATATATATCTATGTTAAGTGTATCTAAATAAAATTGATAAATTCTATCTATAGATATATATTATACAAATATTAATGTATGCACTTAATAATGAATTTAGGAAGTATATCTCCTATTACAGTAAACTAATTTTAAATTAATTTTATGCAACTAAAAATTACTACATTTATCTATTATCAGGGGACTATATATCTGGTTTAGTAATTTTAATTTTGTTATAAGCTTGTAAAATATCTTATTTTAAACGATAAAATTGGGTACCAGAAATAGAGTTTTACGTTTTAGTTTTTTTCAAAGATCAGCAATTCAAACTTTCAGTTATGGTTGAGTATTTTAAGCAATGCACTCAGCATAGCTAAAAAATTTGTGTGTATACAAAGCAAAACTCTCCATGTTTTCATTGTTAATAAATTTGTTAATAATTCAACTATTCCTGAAATATTCAATGCCTTTAACAGACATTTTTAAGAACCATATTGAATTGTTGCAATCATAGTTATATTGAAAAGCAAAGTTATAGTGAATTTCGTTAAAGATGCAGGTCAGTGATGGAATTATGTATATATTATATATATATAAATATGTATTATAATAAAGATTCTAATAATTAATAACGGTACACAATACTGTATGTGTCATTAACGAATTTTACGAGATAGTATACTCTTAGATCAGGGACCCCCAGTTTAACTGGGTTTAGCTCAAAGCATTTTATTCGAATTTTTTCGGGGGCCAGACGAAAACAGAAAAGATCTTTCAGAATTTTCTTGATGATCTGCTCTTCACAATTCCAGCAAACAATTTGGCTCCTGCCTCAGTTGGTGAAGTTTGGCTTACGAGTATGAGTGTCAACTATACAGTGCTTTATTAAAATACCAATTAGCATTCTGAAGTTTTTTCGATCGAACTAACTGTTCGTCTAGTTGTCTGTATATCTCGTGCAGAGTCCAATAAGTACCTTACCTCTTTGGTCCTCTGCAAGGTTAGCGACAATTAGCAATATTGTTAACTATTTGTATTCATTTGTGGCCAGGCAACCAATATACATATATCCCAATTCTTTGGGTCTATCTATCTACTACCTGTCTAGTGTAATGATATTGATTTAACGGATACTTGCCTTTTTACAAAAATATTTATTTTGCTTTACGTAAGCAGGACGCGCCGCTTAACTAAACCTACCTACTTTAGCTCTTTAGCAGCTCTTTCTCGTATTTTAAACTGTGTGAATGTGAATTTTGAAGGTATTCCATTCTTTATTTTCGATAATTGTTTTTGTCCTTCCTTGATAATGCGTACCAGATATTCATGTTCACTTAAGCCTAGTTCAACATATTACACTCCAATTGAAATGCAATGTAGAAAGACTTTTGTTTATGTTCCAATAAAAATGCATTTTGCATTCGTCAATAAATATATGAAAATTCATTTGCAGGAAACATTCATTTTACTTGCTGTTAAGATGTAAATAAAAGATGAATTATGGAAACTTGGAAATGATAATGGTTTTCACCTCTGTTTTTAGTTAAATACACCGTATTACCTGAATGATGGTACGCTCCTTCGAATATGTAGAAACCAAAAGTTGGAGACTAGCTAACAAAAGTCTATCGCTTTCGCAGAAAATTTGAAATACATCTACCATCTACCATTGAACAAATGCGGGATAACAGAGGCCCACAGGTTGACCCAAAAGTTTGGTTTGGTACAGGGACTGATCAAAAATAGATGAATCATTCGGCTCAGGAATTATTATATTTGATAGCCAGGCTGCAAGCAAGCTCTGATTTCTTGGACTTTCAAGTCGAAACAGGTCCTCGTGTGTTACAAGCTCCTACACTTACTTGCAACTCGGAATAAGGTAAGTCGTTATTGGGTACTGGCCCACAGGGGTGTTTTGGGAAATGAACAAGTTATTGCGCTAGACAGAACTTCATCAAAAACTGCTTTAACATCTCAATCCTTTTGTGAGTTAAACTGGGCCAGTACAAAACAAATAATCACGCAGAGGGAAAATCCTGTAAGGAAAGAATTTAAAGGACTTAGACAAAGCAAAGCACTGATCAAACCATACTGCTACAGAAACATTCTTAAATTCTCAAAAGGTGATTTAAGGTTGCTAACGGATTTTGTTACGGGTCGTTATGGTCAGAAATATCGTCTACATAAACTTAGTAATCTGCTAATTCGGAATGAAGATCATGTCTCGGTGAGGAAATAACTATGCATATTCTTTGTGATTCTTTGTGAGCTTAAACAACACTCAGAAAAAAGTTGTTTAATGTGGAATTTCTGAAATCAGTACAGATTAAGATCTCTTCTCCAGATTTAGTTCTGGACTTTAAAGGGCTTTGTGTAATTAAAAGTGAATTTGTTACAATATGACTCTTCTGGCCGCAGTAACAACTGTTGGGCGAATTTCACGACACTAGTTTAAATAGTTAATAAAATAGTAACCAAATGTTTTCATACTAATTAACTATTAAATTATAATTAATTATAATTTTAAATTTTATATCATGATGTTTAATTTTTTTAACGTCATGAGAACAAATCCGAAAGGTTTATGTGTAAATTATGGTACTGACACTAATGCTATATAACAATAACTCTTTATTATTGGAATCTTATCAAATGGATATCAATAAAAAAGTTGTGGGAATAATTAATAAATTAAGAACAACAGTCTAATGCTGTACTTAAACACATTTTATTTATCGACCCTAATTATAACATTTTTGTATGGTTTTTAAAAAAAGGAATGACTATTATCCGGCAAAGATATTACATTCAATTCGGCAAATATGCAGCAATAATTGTAATTTGTACATAAAATCTATACAAAATGTGATAATGAAGTTGATTAATTGTAAATGTAAACATAATAGTTGAAATTAATTTCAAATTTGTCCACATATCACAAAGCCATATATTTTAAGTAATTAAACAGTTTTCAAGAACTAAAAGGTTAAACAGTTTCAAAAAATTTTAATCAGCTGTTTACAATAAACACAGCTCATACGCGTTTTTGATGTTTATTTGTCACCTTATTCTTTATTACGAATAAGAGCATTTGCAAAACACAAATAACACGCGGTTTGTAGGACGCATTTATAGAGAGAATATATATTTTAAGTGACAATAAATATGGGTCGTACTAAAAAGAAGAAATCATCTGGTAAAACTGGCCCGGTTAAAGAATCAGAACCAACTGAACTAGTGGAAGCACCACATTCCTTCGTTATACGACGTGGACTCTCTTGTCCATACATTACAGATTTAACAATTGATTTTCGTAAAATAATGGAACCATTCACAGCTACAAATTTAAGAGAGAAGAAAATGAACCGTATTAAGGATTTTGTTAGTATGAGCAGTTTCTTCCACGTTTCGCATATGGCTATTTTTAACAAAGCCTCCACCCAATTATCATTTAAAGTTTTACGCATGCCGCGCGGTCCAACATTAACATTTAAGGTACTTACCTTACAATTATGTAAAATAGTAATATCTTATTATTCCGATTAATAATTTTATTATTCTCATGATGTTAATATTTGTAATGTATTAGGTACATCAATTTACTTTAACTCGTGATATACTTTCGACAAACAAACGTCAATTCGTTGATGATGACATTTTTAAGCATTCGCCTTTGGTGATAATGAATAACTTCACTGGAGAAGGCAAGCATTTAAAATTGATGGCAACAACTTTTCAAAATATGTTTCCAGCAATTAATTTAGCACAAGTAAGCTTCTCAGTACATATGGATTATATTTAACTTATTTTCTTGAATTCCACTATATAGGTTAATATAGCTACTATACGCCGATGTGTACTTTTTTCCTACAATACTGAAACAAAGCTTGTTGAAATGCGGCACTATAACATACAAGTTGTTCCGGTTGGACTATCGCGTGGTGTCAAGAAAATTATTATGGGAAAAATTCCCAATTTAGCTAAATGTGAAGATATTGCCGATTTTATTATGCAGTATGAAAAATTTGTACTTTTTATTTTATGAAATTATGCTATGTATATAATTTATTAGGGATGGTGCCGGTTCGGAATCCGAAGCTGAAGATGAAGAAACGCAAGTTTTACTTCCGCAGACATTGAAACGTAAAGGAAATTTAGAGAACAATAAGTCTTCAATTCGCTTGCATGAAATTGGTCCGCGTCTCACATTGCAACTTATGAAAATTGAAGAGGGATTGCTAACAGGCGAAGTTCTTTACCACGATCATATTATAAAGTCAGAGGAAGAAAAGGAAGCGTTACGTAAAATGGTTGAAAAGAAACAAAAACTAAGGGAACAAAGAAAAAAAATACAAACAGAAAATCGTAAAAATAATTTAGCGGCAAAGGAAGCTAAACGGAAAAAACGGAATGCTGGTGGTGACAATGAACAAAGTGATCCTGAAGATGATACCGAATATTACAAAGAGGAAGTAGGTGAAGACCCCGATGAAGGTAAATAGTATATAATATAATATTGATATAGTTTAAATAAATTGTGAACCTCGTAGAACTTTTCAAACCAACTGAAAAATCTTCAAGGAAACGAGTAAAGCCGCCTCATAGTATGAAGTTTAAAAACAAACGATTGAAGAAGGATAAAATAAAAAAATAACTGTCCAATATAATTAATATTTAATGTTTGTCAAATATAAAATATTATTTTTTAAATCAAAATTAAAAGTAACTAAGTGTTTTCAATTTATTTTACTATTTTTTATTTGAACATGCGTTTTAAAATATCTTTGTATTGGTTGTTACTCACTGTCCAGCTTTGCTTAACATTTTGTTGTAGTTTTACAAATTCCTTTTTTTCTTTGTAGTTAGGCACTTTTTCAATTAATTCTTGTGCCTTCGCAAATTCTTTAATATTATAAAATGCAACGGCTCTTCGATAAATGCTTTTTTCTGAAGGATCTGCAACAGATTCAACGAATTGTGTTAAATATATTACATCTTCGTATCGTTCTTCCATTAGCAAACAGGCTGCCAAATTTGTTTGTATTTGTATCAACAGTGCCTTCATTTCTTCTCCGTCAACACCATCTGCATCAGCTGTTAAAGGCTCAAACGGTTGGTAAGTAATTAAACATTTAGCCGCACGTGAAAAGTAATCGTGCGCAAACTTCGGGTATTCCTTGAACATTTTTACACCACATTCTTTGTACTGAACAGCTAAGTTATACATTTCCTTTACATCTAATTTATGAAATTCTTTGAAGCTTATAATTTCTTCTAGTGTTATTATAAAATTTAAATCACTGTCTTCGTTGTCGTCATTTTTATGAGACGCAGTACGCATAAAACAATGTGCTTTTTCTCCTAATACCATTTGTTGCACTAACATTTCCAAATAGTAATCCACTGGTGTTATAGCCGTTCCCATAGTTAGTTCCTGACTATTGTCAATTTTGTCCGCACGTAAATATAAACTTGGCCGATCATTGAGATTTCCAAATTTTGCTACTTTTATAATCACTTTTGACACTTTGTTCGGCTTTTCTAATTCTGTGAATTTCAAGTCGATAACCTTTTTCTTTAGTCCTTTTTTTTCTAATTTCCATTCAGTACCAATATACCAATCCATTTTTATGTACCAGATTCTTCAAAAAAACCTCTTTAGGTTATTGTTTATATTCCAGAAAGCTACTTCTTAAGAAATTTGCATTCGCAATAATGAGAGTTTTCGAACAAAGTAAATTTTTAAACAAGTGTTGGAAAATTTTTCTTAAGTATTTGTATATGGTACGTGATTTTTGTTTAAAAATCCTTTTACATAAAAACATAAAATAAACACTATTTTTAATAGCAACTTTGAAAGAAGTAGAAAGTTTGTTAGGCTTATATATGCGAAAAACTTAATAAAATTTAAAATTAAAATTTCGAAAGTGAATAATAATTCTTTGCAAGTATAGGTAAAAATATTTTATTTTTTACGTTTTTGTGAATAAAATTTCTACTTTTAGGCTTTATTGATGTTAACATAAAAAAATAGTAAATAAAAAATAATTGAGTATTATATGTCAAATATTTGTTGACAGTTAACTGGAATTTTGTACATACTACTAAAAACCGTTCACAATAGACGAATTCGTAGTTTTGGCAACCACGCGATTTGAGTTGCTTTTTAGGTAAGCATATCACAATAGAACAACCGGTTATTTTAAAAATAACATATAAAACAACAGCACTGCTGGCTTATTTAGTACAATCTTTATGAAATCGCTTTAATTAATAAGCAGCTTGGTTGCCAAGACTAAAAATTCGTATATTGTGAACGACTTTTGAAACTACCTACGAAATTTCCAGTCAACTTTCAACGAATGATTTCGTTAATTATTCGTATTTCGTGTCGTCATTGTTTGTAAAAAACGCATTATTTTTTTGCATTTATTATTTTACTTTTTATTATTTTATTTTTAAAAGCCTAACAAAATCTTCATTTTGTACAGAGTTGTCATGGAAAGTAGTGCTTATTTTATTTGTTCTTTTGTGACATGCTTACAAAAGAAAAGGCCTATTGTTTTTTAATCAGTTCAGTAGTTTCATTGTAATGAGCCAATATAAATGAGGAAATATGTTTTTTTAGCTATAATAAAAGTTTTCACTATACCGACATTTTAAAATATTAAAAGAAGGTATAGTGCACTGCGACCTAAAAGATCTAGCCCCTTAGTCGGATTAGAGTGTTTCTTCAAGTCCGATTTTTTTAATGAAAGACAGTATAGAGCCTATCTTTCCTAATCTTGAATTCTTTTCATCCTTGAAATACCCTCCTAGATGTTTCTTGCGCTTGTGCATCAGCGCCGGGCACTCTCCAAGCGCATATAATCTGCGTTCCAAGTTGGATTCATTTCTTAACTTCGATATGTGATATTCAATCTACAGTGACTGGTCAATAATCCTGTAATAATTATTAGGTTATTTTTTGATTGTGCTATGCAATCTTTGAAGCGTTTTAAGTTGTAAGTCTCTAAAATCATTTTAGATTGTGAAAGTCTTGGTAGCCTTTCATAATATAGTTCTCTTTCTTTTTCTTCTATGCCGTTCATAAGAATAGATAGAGTTCCTTTTCCTAGACCACAGAATGGTTCTGGGCATATTATTCTTGAGATCGCACCTCTTCTTGCAAGTTTATCTGCCATTTCATTGCCTTGGATGCCAGCATGTCCCGGAATCCATATTAGGTGCACCTGATTGTTCCAGCCGAGTATGTTCAGCTTGTCAATGCACTTTCATACCAATTTAAATGTTACCTGTTACCTGGTATGAGTGCCATTATAGCTGCCTGGCTATCAGTCAGTATTGCGATTTTACGATTCCGGTAGTTAATTTTAAGGTTGAAACTGGGGCATCTATCTATCGCGTATATATCCGCTTGAAAGATAGTTGCATTATTTCCCAGTGCTTCCCAGTAACCTTTGCCTGGTCCATAAACACCAGCTCCAACTCCCTCATTGGTAAGTAAGCCGTCTATATACCATGTAATCATGTTTTCTTTTATTATTTGGGTATTGTGCAAGCCTTCCCAATTCTTTTTGTTGCCAAGTTCAGTTTTGCTGTTGTTTTGAAGCCCAGTCACCCTGTTTGTAATTACTTTTAGAGCAGTCCTCTTCGTCTGTGATTCGTCTGTGATGGATGTGAAGAGGTGTGAGTTCCAGGAGTACTTTAATTGATGACGTAGGACATGTTCTCATTGCTCCTGTTATGCTTACACATGCAAGTCGTTGTACCTTGTTGAGTGTTGTGATAACGCTTTGCTGTTTTGTGCAGTTTTTCCAGACTATTGATCCGTAAGTAACCAATAGTCTGATTATTGCTGTGTATATCCATCGTAGTGACTTTGGTGTACACCCCCAATTCTTACCTGCGATGGATCTAGATGTCATAAAGGCTTTGGTTGCCTTTTTTATAACTTCATGGATGTGATATTTCTTTAGTAATTTTTGCTCCAAGATTATATCCAAAAATTTTACCTCCTTTCTAACCTATCTAAGCGGATGGGTTTAAGATGTTTTACTTTGTATTTTCTAGTGAATAGCACAATCGTTGTTTCTGCTGGATTAATTTTCAGCCCAGCCGAATTGCACCATTCTTTTGTTAGTTTTAGGCCTAACTGGATTCTCTCGCACAGAGTATGTTCAAATTTTCCTCTGCAGATTATTACCACATCATCGGCGTAACCCTTGATTCGGAAGCCATCCAATTTTACTAATAGTTCATCCACTACCATACTCCACCCTAATGATAATATTCCACCATGTGGTCACCCTCGCGAAATATTTGCAAAAGTATTGATATTACTAGTCCGAATTTCTACTCTCCTGGTGCGGAGCATGTTGCGCATCTAAAGAGTTGAGTTTATGACCTCATGTAGTGTTATTAAAGGCTCCTTCAATATCTAAGAAACCGCATATTGCTATTTCTTTCTTATCTATGCTGTCCTGAAGTAACACCTTAACACATAACCCAATAAGTCGTGTGACTAACTAAGAAAAACAAATTTTTTCTGTCAAAAATTGATTTTACTTGTCAATTTAATTTTCTTCAAGGGCAATACAAGAAATTTCAACGCTTCTCTAACTTCTCGATGCTGTGCTTGTAGAAGAATTTGACCTTTACCTAAAATAGATTTCAGTTTTAGCGATTACTTCTTCATTTGAGATAAATTTCTTTCCGGCGAGAATTTTTTTGAGATCAGCGAATAGCCAATAGTCGCTGAGGGCCAGATCTGGACTATACGGTTGATGAGGAAGCAATTTGAAGTGTAATTCGTGCAATTTTGCCATAGTTTTTATTGAGTTGGGAAATGGTGCTTTGTCTTGTTCCTTCACCATATGCGATCGTTTTTTCACAATTTCTGCTTTCAAACGATCCAGTAATACAGTGTAGTAGTTACTATTGATGATTATTCCCTTTTCGAGATAGTCAATAAAGATTATACCATGTGTATCCCAAAATACTGAAGCCATAACCTTCCCAGTTAACTGTTGTGCCTTTGAACGCTTCAGACGTTGTTCACCGGTTGCACTCCACTCAGATGATGATCGTTTTGATTTTGATGTTTTATCCATTGTCTCATATCGACGCAAAAAATCTGATTTATGACGTGTAAACATGGCCAAACACTGTGAGTAAACGCGGCACCCACTTTGAAAAGAGCTTTCTCATGGTCAAGTGTTCATGCATAATTGTAAACACACTGCCTTCTGATATCTTTACGGTCTCAACTGTCTCACGCAATTTCAATTTACGACCAGATATAACCAATTTCTGGACTTTTTTGATTTTTTCTGGAGTAACCACCTCAATTGAACGACCAGAACGTTCACCATCATCGGTGTCTGTACCACCACGTTTAAATTCAGCAAACCAATAACAAATGGTTTTTTTTCGATGGAGCAGAGTCCGAATAACAATTTTGAAGCCATTGCTGAGCTTGTACAATATTTTTTTCATCAAGAAACTATGGTAAATTAACACACGAAATTGTTTTGAATCCATTGTTTTGAAAATAACAAAAGTAGCTTCATTTAAATTGGTCTCACTTTTTTTCTGACTAATCGAAATATCCTGAAATTTTACACATAGTCTTTTGAAGGTTGGTACTTCATAAACGTCATACAGATTTGGCAATGGCAGCACCATCAGTGTGTCAGTCACACGACTTATTGAATGATGTGTTAGTTAAATGGAATATCAATATAATAATAAGTTAGAGTCACAGTATTAAGTTTATATCGATCATTTACAACATTGATTGATTGATACATTCCAATAATTCTTGGGTAAGCCGAAAGAATGATCTACCTTGAACAGATAGATTACTTACTTACTTATTTGGCCATATACAACCTGTGACCGGGTTTCGGCCTAAACAAATAAATTGATGAAGTAAAAAAAATGCAGTCTTAATAGCATTATCGTTAATAAATAAATAAATGCAAAAGAAACAAAAAAGGTGGATTTTGTAAATCTTCAACATAAGTTGTTAAATGAACCAAAATCATACATTAAAAATTATTTCAGTTTTAAGTAACTATAAGTAATAGAAGGATTCGAATAGCAAAGAATATGTTTACATAAAGCAACTTTTTGGTGTCATCTTACATAGAACCTAAGCAAATCCTATAATCCTACAATTTCGCTAATCGCGATTAGGAAAAGCTGCACAATATTATATTTTATTGTTCATATTTCCAATTCTAATTTCTAAAGTTAATTACGCTTCGTCACAAGAAGCGAAGCTTTCGGCAAAAATGATCAACTTTAAACAATAACTTATGTTATTGTTATCATTCTGAAATATGACTATGTTTTCAAGTTAAGAAATAAAACTTTTTTATAATTTTATATGTATATATATTTTTAGTTTTCTTTTAATTCATTTTTATAACTTAAAATATTATACCATTAGTATATTAAGTCTATGTTCCATTTTAAATATATAATTAAAATATTTATGTATATTTTGATGTAATAATTTATTACTACTTTAAACACTTTAATTGTAATTTAGTATCAGTTTCTATTTACTTAATGTTTTTAATTAAATATATAAAATATTAAAGTTGGCCTTAGAATTGGCTTAACACTTCATTATATTGGCATTATTGTTTACTTATGAATTAAAGTGATATTAACTATTTCATTTATGTTGCAATTTTAAAAATTATTCTTAGGTAACTTTTACATTATATTAATTGGCGATTATGTCTAACTGCATGTGTATGTCTATAATACACTCTTTGTAAAATATATTCTTGTGTGCATTTGATGTGGCATCAAATCTTTTAAGTCTTTTAAACATTATATTAAAATGTTTTTTTTTTTACTATTTAGTTGACAGTGATAAAATAACTATTTTAGATATATTACGTATTTTGTTAATATTAAAAATTTATCTTCTCTTAATTAGCCCTTGTCAATTTGTAAGTTTAACGTTGAGTTTATATTTATTTTATTTAGAATTTTATTGTAGTATTTAAACTTTAATTATTTCAAATTCTGTTTAAAGATGTAGTCTTGTTTATAATTTTATTCGTTGACTAGAAATGAAATACAACGTTAAAACATCTTAAGATTTTGAAGGTTATTTAGTAAAATCTGGGTAAAACCGCAGTCCGAATTAGTTCTTATAAATCGATCATTCACAAATTTAGTTCATATTCAAACTTAACAAATTTTTTTTTTCATTTTGTTAATTTAGTAATTGCTTTTTGTTTGTGTAAATTAATTTTTATAAACGCAATTTTTTTTTATATATACAAATTGCTTAAAGTAATTCGTTCTCCACAAATAAAATTTTAAGTAAAATGTCGCCAATAAAATTTTAAAACAACATATTTGAGTTAAATACAAAAATTTTGATTAACCAAAATAAATTTTTAAAATAATATGCAAAAGTCTATAAATTTAGCACCAAAATATTAAATACTATATATTTAAAATACTATATATATCAAACTTCAAATTATATAATTTTCATTGTTATAATATAATTCAATTTTGCCAAGATTCGAGTGCAATTGTCAGTAGTGAAAATAATAGACAGTAAATAACAATCAAATCGTTGACCATATCATATCAAGTTGGTGGAAAATTTGAAAATATAATTGAAATAACTAAAAAAAACTTCGATGTAAATATATATAGCGGCGCTTTAAAATTCCAAAAAAGAAATAGATGCTCAACTATATATTTGTAACAACAATGTCACTTCATTTTATTCAATTTTAAAAAAATAATTATAAATGAGTTAAATAAAAATTTGCAAATTAATATATTAAAATGCATTATTTTGTAAATATTACACCAACAAACTGCATTTGAAAAACTCGAATAAAATATATATTTTTTAAATTAATTAAAACCAGTTATTTGTTCATTAAAATAAAAATATTACTTTGGTTTTAAAAAATGGTTTTAGGCAAAACCGTATACAACAACTAAAAGTCGTAAATTTAAACAACTTAAATATCTATTTATATCATATAGTTTAATACATTCGTAAAGTCAATCATATAAACATATAAAAAAATATTAATACAATCTTAAAAATATTCCACGCAAATATACTAATATATAAATCATTATTTAGTTTTTTATAAATTATTGAAATAAATACAATATATAATGTTTTATACATTTCATCTTAACCTATAATAATATTATTCTTTTTGAGCTAATAGAATATAAATAATATAATTAAAATTTCATTGCATAACGCATAACATATATTAAACATAACAAATTAATATTGTTATACAAGCTCAAACGATTTTAATTGTTCTAAAGCATTCATTTTGATACGTTTCTTATTTAAGACTAAAATTTAATAATATATTACTTTTGTCATAAATGACTTGCTTTCTTACTCTACTGAAATGGACAATCATTTTTATAGCTTAATTTATATAACTAAAGTTTTTTTAACTATTATAGAATTAGTTTTTTCATTGCGAGTTAGTTTCCGTTTTATCAATATTTAGGAAAAGAAAATTTGTAATTCATTTTAGAGTTTCATCTGTTAAAACATAAACCCTTCCTATGTTGTATAAGTACGTATAACATCACGTATAACAGCCCGACAAAGTGGACATTGACCACCACCTGCACCGCGCCATTGTTCAATTGCACAATCATAGCACATACACATATGACCGCACATGTAAAGCACTGAATCTATTTGATTTTCATAGCAAATTGTACATTCCGAGTCTGAGTTGCTGTGATCGACAGTATCCTTCAAATGGTTCACATAACCGTTGTTCACATTGTTAATAGGCTATAAATACAATATATTTCTGTTAATATTTAGTCAAAAAAACTTTTTAAGCAATTGAACTTACCTCAATATACTGACTACTTGCATTTGACACAATAGTATTGCTAGAACAGGCGCCCGCCAATACACCACTTGTTGCTGGTTGATTAAGACGAGATTGACTAGCAAAAAATGTTGTTCCATTGAGGTCTTGTGACGTTGTTGGTGGCAAGTTAACAACAAGAACAGTTCCTCTATTATTTGGTTGTATTTGTATCATATCACCACTTAAAGGAACACTAATCGTGTGACCAGTCGTAGTGGCAGTAGCGGTTAAACTATTTGCTCCATTAATATTATTTGGCGTGCAACTTGTTGAAGCACTACCAATACCTACATTATTCGATTGCATAGAGGCTAGAGTTGAAGAAGAAGTGCTTATTGTACTATGTGTAACGTTTAATTGTGACGGATGCAATAGTTTACGTGCATCAGTTGTTTGGTTATTAAGGCTATTCAATGATTCTGATGCAGGTATGAAACGTGTTGAAGAGGTTGCAGGCGACATTTGAGGATAGGCGATCATACTAGGCAATTGTTGGCGAAACATCCGTACAGATTGTGTTGAACCATAAATATCAAGAAAGGCCCATAATTGGAGTGATTGATCTACATGCATAACAACTACACCAGGTCCATTGTTTTTACTTATTGTTACCTCACCATTTGGTGACACAAAAAATGAAATTTCATCACCGCATTGTGGTATTGAAGCTATATCTTTACTGACTACCCAATACTCTGGACGATCAAGCAAAAAATCTGAGTCATTTGGCAAATCGCCAGCTTGTAAAGTACCTGGATTGCAAGAGGTTAATCCAAGCGCCAAAGCACCTGCATATATTTGCTCTGTTTTAAGAATTTGTACGATTATTTTTTCGCCAATGCGTATTGGACGAGCAGTAAATACGTAACCCTGACAAAAATCTTTTTCGGTACGGGACGCTATAAAGCGGTCATGTGAAAGACGTACATTTCGTCCTTTGGTTATGTGAAAAGGTACTGGTATTAATCGACCGGTAGCATTGTAACGCAATGGCGGTACGCCACTCGCTAAATCATTCACAAATGCTGTATGATCATTTCCAATATTTAATGATTGCATTGAGTTCATAACATGGCGATCTAAATCTTGCTCGTTTGCAGGCAGTGAACGTCTTGATTGCTGGATCGGATGATGTGAGTTCAGACTGATTTGTGAGCCAGGCAGTGTGTTAGTTAAACCGGCAGCATTTGTAGCATTTAAGTTATTAGTAACTCCACCTCGGGGGTGCATAAGAATTACTGTATCCAATAGTTCTATTGCCGTACAGTTACCATATAAATCAATTAAAACCCATAATGGTCCATGTGTATCTATGCCTGTTAATATAACACCAATTTCTACATTGTTAATTCCATAGATAACATCACCAGATGAATTTACATAATAATAAAGTATGTTGTCTTTTTCACAATATTGTTCGTCTAAAGTTTTGGCCCAAAAACCAGGTTGAATAGTTAAATCAGGCATAGCAAATCTTGGTAGAGCATTATTTAATGTCACTGGATCATTATTTGTGAAACCAAAACGTAGGCCACCGCTCCAATTATTTGAAATTTCAGAAAATTTAATATAAATGCGTTCATTTATATGCACAGGACGCGATGAAAATGTTATTGCACGGCAAAAGCTATGGAATCGTCGAGCCAAAGTCCGATCCCGTGAAAGTCTTATATTATCGCCATGTACAGTGTGAAATTGTAATGGCGGTCCAACACATGATAAAGGAGATCGACGAACTGTAAGAACACGTAAAAGAGATTGAATAATAAAAATAAATTTTTTTATTTATTATATAACATATGTATAATATATTTTTAATAAATTATTGCAATTAAGTTCTATAATACTTTTTAGAGTTATATGCATATACCATAAAATTTTATATATGCCATGAATAAAATTTATTTAAATTTATTTCATAAAGAGGTTTTTTCGAACAGTAGTGAAATACAACAACAAAAATTTATTTTTTAAATTATTTAAATTAATTGAATTTTTGGCTGACCATACAGCTGTTTCGAGTATTGCCAAATACCCATCATCAGTGGTCTTGGAAATAATTCTTGTATTCAATTATTCGTAAATAATTATTTTTGAAACTGCAAGTACCAGGAATCGAACTCGGGTCCTGCCAAATGTGAAGCTCAGAATCAGCGCACCTTAACCAACTGATCCAAAGCCGTACTTGACTTTTTTGTTCGCATATTTTTCTGGAGTTTTGTTACTATTACTATGAAAGTTTTTTTTATTAACAATTTTACTTGCTGTGTTTATATTAGAACGAAATCATAAACCAGCTGTAGAATAATTGAACTAATTAATTAATTATAATTTTATTTTCAATTGTTTAAATTTATTGAAATAATTTATTTGTTAGTTATGTCAGCTGACACTTTCAGAACCTAAAATTATATACGGACAATTAAACTATTAAATGTTTCGAAAGACCAGTAATGATGGATATTTGATGCTTGATGATTTTCGAAATGGATATATTGCACAAAAATTAAAATTTTGGATTTTAAAATTGAACTATTATCCCGTTTCTATTCGAAAGCTTTGAAAGGCTTTTTGATTATTTATGTATGTGATTAAAATCACAGAGTTATAATCTCATCTAACCTTTACACAAAAATTATTAAAATAAATAGACATTGTCAATAATAATGTATATAAGATAATCTAAAATGGTTACCTATTAAAGTTTAGAAAGAAACGTTAGGATTTGACAACAAATAGATGTATCTACAACGTTTTTGTATTACAATTTAGAAAAGTGTATCTCTGTTTTAATATAACTTCATATTCCTATCACGGTATTGTATGTTACAACTAAAAACTATTTTTGTTAATAATAAAGTTAATAATGTATTTTATTTCTCGAAATTTATTCATTTCAATTCGATCCAGTCTAATATCTCTTTTTAATCTCAAACTTTTTTTAAGAATTAAAAGTATTTAATAATTATCATATTGTTAAAGCAAAACCTCTTTTATAAAAAACGCAAATTGAAAATTTCTTTTAAGAAGCATATATTATGTTACATTGAAAATGTGGTTTTAATCAATTTAAAAAATGAAGTCATTGCAGAATAAAGGGATTCGATTTACGGAAATGATTTGTAATATAATATGCAAACGTACATTAAGCAGAATAATGGTGTGAGTTAATAAAAAAAAAGTATAACAATTATATAAGAGTTAAATTTGAGTGGTTTCCAAACTGAAAATATAGAAAGGATGTTCTAGATCATTTTTGTTTTTTTATTTTGTGTATCAATCTAAATTTAAAAAGAAATATAAACTACAGTAAAACATAAAAACACAATAACAAATTTGGATATTTTATAGATGTATTTATAGCTACAATTATAACTATTTGTAGGAATCGAGATTGATCAATCAATAAAATTTTTTATAAAATTATTTTCGCTTTTTAAATTTTAAATAAGATCAATATATTACAATAAAATATATAATTCAGACTTGGTCTGTACACTTTAGACACTATTATTGCTTCATTGCTTCACTATTATATAAAAAAGTTTTCCTATTTTTGATAACAGTTTATTTTTATTAAATATCCTTAAAGAAAGTATTTTTATCTTAAGATTTGATTTTTCTTCAATTAAAAATATCTGTTATAAAAATATCGTATTCCATATATGTATGATATTTGAATTTATGAGAATAAAGGCGTTATTGTGTGATTATTAACAAATAACTATATTACAGACTACTGTATAAGCGAAATCTTGTCTTTATAATAATCTTAGTGAACTAGATACATATCTCATACTCATGATATGTTATCTTATCATTACTTTTCAAACTTTTCAAAATTACATTTTATTTGATATAATTTATTCTATATTTTTACAATATGTACGAAGAGACTACAAAGTTCTTTCATATAAAAAAAAATAATGAAAATGATAAATTAATAGAAATAAGAAGATACGAAAACAGATGTCGCACTTTGGGAGTTATGTATAAGTGCTCTGTGCGAAAATACCCCAACAAAAACACATTTCAGTATTGCGGCCTGATCCCCTACCAATATCTGCTATTTTTAAACATCTATAAAAAAATTAAAGATGAACGAACCTGTGTCGAGTGCCCAGTACATAATTACTGGAGCATTTGCGTGCTTTTTACAAAAATTGCAACTTCAACTTAAAACAGCAGTTGCAGGGAATCATGCCGTTGCATAGAGGAACACCAGTGTAAAATTGGCAATATAGGAGTATATAAATATACATATATATTTGTATATATATACATATGCATAAAAAATACCAACAGTTGCAAATTAATGATATTAAACAGAACATATAAAAAAATAAAATAAAGACAAAATGATCGACAGTTTAATAATGCTTGCGACAAAAGGTTATTTTAACAGTCTTTAAAAATGATGAAAAATGCTTACCTCGAAAGCAAACTAGTAACGCCATAAGGACGATACCAGGCACGTGCCACTTAAAAAAGATCCACATACATATTTGTAAAGTAGTACACATACGAATACAAGCGAATACAAAGGAATCCCTACACCTTTTCACATGCTGTTCGTTTGTAATAATTTAGGATAGTAGGATACTCTAGCAAGAGTAAAGATGTTTATATAAAAGTGTATTTATGTTAAAAAATCAACAAAAAAAGGCATGAAGGCATGTGCCAGCTGCCTTTAAAATGCGTAAAACTACAAGATAAAGGATCTACACTGGAACAGCCGGAATTTAAAGATAAACTAAGGTATGTGTATGTGTATGTGTATGTATATGTAGCAAAATAAGGCAGACAGTCGGAGAGGGAAACTGACAGGTACAAATGTCAGCATATGAAGCCAATATAATCAACAGGATAAGTACAGCATAAGCATAAGCAAAGCAAAATCAGAAAAATTAATGCATTTTGAGAAGTCGCTTCGTATCCTTATGGAAGGCATTTGTTACAACCCCTAAAGAATACATACAAGCCGTAACAACATTTACAACTCCATAAGAAGCCAGTTGTATTGGAAACGCAACGGAGCAACCTTATATGATTATATATACAAATAGTTGGTAAAATGAATAATGCAGTTCAATAGTACAATGTCAAATAATAAATGTACCAAAAATTGGGGGAAGTTTTTTCGTAGTATTTTGTGTATAACAAACAAAACTGGCAGATGTTTAAATTTGTTAACAAAAAAAAAAAATAAATGAAGAAAAAATAGTTGAAAAACTTAACATTAAAGGAGGAACGATATAAAAGACGATTTAAAGTATGTATCTATAGATATATATAAATATGTATATTAATATAATATAGAATAGGATAATGCAATAAGTACTCGTACGTAAATGCTACTTGAACTTTCTTGCTTTGCTAAGAAAGCAATGGAAATTTGATACGGATATGCAAGCCTCGTTTGAAGTAAATTAAATCTCTGGTCTTACAGGCATGCACATAGATAGCGAAATTAGTGAGTCCAAAGACGAATATAAGTATGTAACACATGTAAACGTAGCCATTATTAATATGCACAAACTCCAATCAGTATGTTTGTGAAGTATACATCCGGTTTTTATGTAAGGCAAAAAGGAAAGGCAGCGGACATACAATAATCTAAAAAAATCGTTTTAGCTTCCGGTTTCTTCTACTGTCGTTGTTGCTCTTGGCAATATACAAATAATAAAGAGCCAGATATATGTCTCAGTCGCGTATAACTTGAAAACTTGGCATAAAGCAGCTGCATTAATTAAACGCAACAACATTATATATATGTTATATATGTTATAGCGGTGTCTAGCGCTATGCAGCATTTAGATGCTACACGTATATTCTAGTAGCACTCAATGTTGCAAGAGCGGAAGATACATATGTATGTTGAATTCTATATTAATTAATATGCAATATGTGTCGTCATAGTAAACATGAGTGCGATTAGAGAAGGAATTAAAAATTATATTTTAATTAAAGTAAAACCAACTGCAACAACAAATAATTACTAATTTTGAAATCGTGCTCTAATGTTCTCTTTATACGAGAACAAATTCAACGGCTTCGCATATAGGAAATCACGTTTCAATAAGAAAAAGTTACCTTTCTTCTAATGTTATGTTTCGAGTGTGTGTTTAAAGGACGTATCAGTGCGTTGTTAAGTTTTTTATTTTGAAATGCATCATAAAACTAATACATTTGTCTAGGAATTTGCTCATCAGACGCCGCCAAGTCAATACAAACAATTTAACTTCGAACGGTTTTCACTCTACAATTTTTGAATTTTGATGATTTTGCTGACTGTCAGATAGAGCCTGCCAGAGCGATGGCTCTGCTTATTCATTTCATGTTAGCTAATGGCATAATTACCCATTACACATTAAATAAATTGTTAACAAAAATATTTGTTTAGCACTGTCGCACTAATCTTTCCAGTATTGATATTAAAGTATTAATAAATAAAATGAATTAAATATATGGTAAACGTGAGTGCCATAAGTGTTAATTTAGTTAAATTTCGAAAAATTTACAGCTTTTTTAAAATAGTTTAAAATGAATAACATATTAAATATTTTTATTTTGAAACAATTGTTAGTGTCTTTTCCATCGACCGTTTCTCCACAGATCTTATAAGGTGCTTATGGCTGTTGACTGGTTTAAGTATTACTGTGTTGTTTGGTTTAAGTATTCGATTTGCGTATCGTGTAACCGATCCAATGCCATTTGCGTTTTCTGACCTAGGTTC